AGGAAATGGGGGAATCTGTGTTTTCCTGAGTGCAGTTCCAGCCCTCACCCTTCAATGTGCTGTTGGATGGGATTAATACTGACCCTCACATTTGCACTCAGTCTTCATGCCCCAAATCAGTCTCAAAGGCTTTGTTAGTCTTCCGGATTCTAGTCCTTTGCTAGTCCTTCCTTTTGCTTCCTTGCTTCCTAAAGCCCTACCTCACAATTGAATCTGAATTCTTGAGCTCATAAGGAACTTCAAAGATCTATGTCTCAATATTCCCCTTACCCACCCCTCCAATTTATAAATGAAAAAATGAACTACAAAGAAGTAAAATGACTTACCCACCATCACACTGTTAGTTTATAATAAAGAACTATAATCCAGAACCATCAATTTCTTATTGAATATGTTTCTCATCAATAATAATAGTAATAGTAATAATAATAATAGCATTTACATAGTACTTGAAGGTTTACAAAGTCCTTTACAAATATTTTCTTTGTTGGTGCTATTATTATCCCCATTATGTAGATGAGGAAGCTGAGAGGTCCCTGACTCTATCCACTGGGCCACCAAGCTTCCCACTGCCTCTCCTAATGTCATAGAATCTAATTTCTGGGAATGAATGAAATAATAATAATATTGTTTCTCACCTATCTGGGTCAGACTAGTTACTGGATGAATGCTAAGGTCTTTTCCAAATCCAAGTTTTCATGATTTGATTTGTCTCAAGCAGGACTGGCTCAAGAGTCTAGGCTCAGCTCTGATTGTGATGGGGCCTAAAGGCCCATTGACCCTGTTACATATATGAGTAAAAGGGTGTCCCAATTTCTGATTCATGGTTGGGCTCCATTTCCATCCATCATTCTCTCTCCTTCTGTGGTGCCTTTGAACAAATGACCTCCAGATGACTATAATGCACTCCTTTCTCATCTCTGCAGAATGGAATCCCTAGCTTCCGTCAAAACACAGCTCAAACGCCACAACCCAGCACTTAATTGCACCCTCTCTCCTTATTAGCAATCACTCCGTCTTGAAATTGCTTTGTATTCTTTTGCGCATATTTTGTTTTAACTCTCTGTAGACCATTGTATCCCCTCAGCAGAACAGAGGTTCCTTGAAGATGCCATCTTCCAATTGATGTCTTTGTCTTCCCAAATGTACCAAATGGGCTGAAACCCAGAATCTCAGCATTCTTGCCTCTGTTCTGCTGCATCTGGACTATGTGCTAACTTAGATGGGTATCAGGCTTTTATTTAAATGGGGCTTATAGTATAAATGTTCAACTATCTGTGTACATGTTGTATTTCCCCATTAGGCTATAAGCTCCCTGAGGATGTGAACTATGTCATTTTTTAAAATTTTATATTCCTACCACTTAGCTCAGTGCTTTGTAATTAACAGATACATAATAGGTGTTGGCTGAATTGACTGGAAGTGGCATACTGGAATACTTGAGACACATGTGGCCAGGTTAAAGCCAACATGAACCCCAAACTCTGTCTAGAGCCCATTGGCATTTCCTCCATTTTACTCTGTAGCTTCAATAATACTTGTTGCTCCTGGAGCAAAAGGCATTCTGCTACTGCCACCAGAGCACATATTGACCATATGTTCACCTCTCATTTAGCAGAACCAGCATACGAACTTAGTTTTGGTTCAATATTTGGAGTTGTCTCAAAGTGGATTCAGCTACTTAGGAAGGTAGTGAGCTACCCATCAGTGGATGTCTTGTAGTGGAAGTTGGTTGATATAGAGGGGATTTGACTAGATGGCTTCTTGCTATGGTCCCATACAACTTGGAGGTTCTGCAATCATCCTAATATTGTGCCTCAAAGGCTTCGATGTTTGGTACAAGCTTCAATAGGCTAAGTATGGACCCTTTGAGAGCAGGGACTATTTTTGCCTTTCCTTGTATCACCTTTAGACGAGTGGCCAACATCATAGAAGCAATTAATAAATCTTTGTTGACTTGATTTGACTTGACAACTCCCACACTTTACTCTGAATGAAACCGCTGTTTGGAGGGGAGCCCACAAGTCTTTCCTTTACACACTATGATCTGTCTCTCCTTCCTATATCTAAGCCCAACTGCCTTTTTGTTCTCAATAACCCTTGCCCGACTGTCCTCTGTCTTCTAGTGAAGGAATCCTTAGGATTACGATATCTATCCTTTAACAATGATAATTATAATTAATAACTTACATTTCTAAGATATTTTGAGGCTTACCAATCATTTTCCTCCCCACAATAACCCTGTGAGGTAGGCAGAACAAGTATCATCTTGGTGGTATAGTGAATAGAGCATTGGACTTGGAGTGAGGAATATCTGAGTTTGAGACTAGCCATGGATAAATCACTCAATTTCTCATAGACTCAATTTTCTCATCTATAAGATGAGGATAATAATATCACCTTCTTCATGTGGGTTGCTGGGACAGTCACATGAGAACATATGTAAAGCACTTTGCAAACCTTAAAGAGCTGTACAAATGTTAGTTATCATTATCCCCTTTTTATAGATAAGGAGACTAAGATTCATTATCATGACAAAAGTCTGCTCCTCACTAGGCATATGCAATTCTTTTTTTTTTTTTTTGAGACTGGATCTCTTTATCTTATCAGGTTTGGAAGAGTAGTGGTTACTGATGGATCTCATTCCAATACTAATTGGTTCAGAAACTTTA